ATATCCATAACTGTGTGAGACAGTAGTGTTGCTAGGTGCTTAAGAGATTTAGGACTTGGGCCCGTAGGCAGTGTAATTTTATGTGTTTCAGTATGATATAGATCATGATGTTCTGTTCTGATTTTGAACGGCACCAACTTGTGAATTGGGGTACTGTCAAATAGAATCGGGGCACAGGCCCCATATATCAGCACCTAGCAACAACACTTCTGATGTGAGAGCTGTTGGTCAGAAAATTGTCTCCATCATTATGCTACTGATATTGTTAACACTATACTTTTAGGTATAAGGATGGTAAATTGGTGGTGGAGAATGAAAGAATTAAAGTTATGCATGAAGAAGAAGAGACTTTTACACTTGCTATCAAAAAAGTCCAGCAGGATGATTCAGGGAGCTACTCTTGTATTGCTCAGAACAGTGGTGGAAGTGAAACAGGACTTGGAGCTCTTTTTGTTAATGGTATTGGTGTACATTCTACTAATTACTTCTCAAAATTATTATTATAACCACTGATGTATTTTTAGGACAGCTTATTTTAAGTGCACATGATGTTTGATAGGCTTGATATAATAGAGATAAATCAACAAGAAAGTTTAGTAGAAACCATTTTGAATGTGGTAATATAACTAGAGTCTGGAAGTAACCAACCAGCCAGGTTTAAATCTTTCATGTCATCAACTAAAAAGCTAAATGACAGACACAACTAAAGTTGCATGAAATCCTTTTTCTTTATTACTTGTTCAATTGTTTTCACTTATGAAACAAAAATGTCTAATAGGTTTTAATCTTTGGTATAAGTGTGATGCTCTTCTAATTCCGAAACACTCTGTATCCTATTTTCTGTATTAATCCATTAAAAGACACATTTTCTGTGCAAAAATTAGTTTTAAGCTTCTCGATTTTTATATTTATGTTTTGAATGCAGAATTCTGTAACCTGATTTTTCTGGTAAATTGATAACAAAAAATAATAAATTCACAAAATATGTTATGTGTTATTATGTTAATGTGGAGAAACCATGATATTTTTCTTTTCTCTTATTCATTTTATGAAATTTCTTTCTTTCTGTTTTGTAAAAAATAAATTCTGGTTTAGTCACTGTACTGAACCAGTACAAAACAAAAGCAATCCTGGTCTCATTTCACAC